AACACACACACACACACGGGCAAGGGAGAGAGTATACACGAGACTGAGTAAAAGAACATATGTACAGGAAGAAAGCCCAATATATCTAATAGCATCAACAAGAACAAGATCAGCTTCAATTAGACTATGATTACCAACTACGCTAGTGTGCAGAAGTAACAGGCATAGGGTTCAGGCGTGACCGCCAAGCTCGGGACGAATCCACCAGATTAAACCCTACAACATGAAAGCTTCAGCTTACAAGATCGGGGGAGAAGCAACTTTTATAAATTGAGAAGCGTGGTTCATCGCATGTAAGAACAAGATCAGCTTCAATGAGACTATGATTACCAACTACGCTAGCGTGCAGAGGTAACAGGCATAGGGTTCAGGCGTGACCGCCAAGCTAGGGACGAATCCACCAAATTGAAACCTACAACATGAGCTTCAACTTTCAAGATCGGGAGAGCAGCAACTTTTATAAATTGGGAAGCGTGGTTCATCCCATGTAAACAGGGGACAATCAGGTCTCTACCAACAGCGGACATCTACATCAGATGCATATGCATATGCATATGCTGGAAGAGTCACCGAAGTTCCCCAACATATGCATGCTTCAGCGCATACTTGGGTTTTGCTGAATGTATCAGGTAGTAAGAGTTACGGCCAAATTGAGTTGAGAACGTGACCGTATATGCTTTGATGACATCTGTCCAATTAATTGGAAGCTACAAGACCAAGAAGACAGTGTCTGTGCGGATCTCAGATGCTGTAGCTTCTACAGGACTCCACCTGTAGGGGCGGGGAGAGAATGTGGCAGTACTATATGTTCCTCAACGGGTGTTCATCCTCCCATGGATGGTTGATTCCTGTTGCATCTCACTCTCGTGGCCCATTCGTGTCCGTCGATCTACTCTTGCCCGTGGCCCTCCCTCCTCATCTCTCTCTCTTTCCTTCTAGAAGCATCCATGTGTGTTCATCTTCTCGTGGATGATTGATTCCTGCTGCACATCACTCCGTGGCCCATTCATCCCTATCGATCTACTCTAGATCTGCATCCACGTGGCGGTCTGCTGTTCGCCGTTTTTTCTTTTCTTTTATTTTCTTTTGTTTTCTTTTGTTTTTTTTTTCTTTTCTTTTATTTTATTTTCTTTTCTTTTCTTCCATCCCTACCACCACCTCAAAAACAACGGCCAGAAGAACACACCTTTCAGCCCTGTACTAACGCCCACTTTTATCCTAGTACTGCCACGTTCTCTCCTCCCCCTCTTTGAGGTTTCACTACAATGTGGCCTTCCTGTGCAAGTTCCACATTTGCCCGGCACCTCCAATCTCCAATCCGTTCCCTGCCCACTTGTCTTCCCGCCAACCTCAGCCCCCACACTTCCCTCCCTGCGGCGTTCTCTCCCGCACCCTCACCTCTTCCTTCTCAGGGCATACTCGCAGTACCACTTCTTGTACCGAGCTCTGGACGTGATTGCAGTCAGATTCATCTGAGTCTAGCGATCACTGCAGTCGGACACATTTAGAAAAGTTACAGTGTGAGTACGCCATCCAGCATGCTTTTCCATTTTCCACTACTTCRTTTCCCAGTGCACCAATCCGCTATGGCGGGGGATAAGGAGAAGAGGACGAACRGARASCGGAAGAACAAGAGGAGGACAAGAAGAGAACGACGAAGAAGACGGTGAARGTCAGCCAATGAGAAAAAAATGTRTCAAAGATGAACAGCAGGAGGAGGACGGGGAAGGGAGGGACTTACCTCGACGACGGCGACGATCAGTGGCAGGAGATAACTTCCTTCGCTATGGTGGGGAACAAATGGCGACCGAAGGCGTCCACAGGGCATACAAGGGGTGTTGGCCAAGATGTCGACCCTGCTTCTCGGCTGCGCCACTGTTGTTGCTGSTACCCGCCGCTGCAACCTGCAAATCACTTAGCAAGCAGCCGACTCGGCTGAACGCGGGGTTTTCCAGTACGGCGAGCAGATTTGCAGGATCGCATCCGATACGCGCGGCCTTTTGCTCTTTCGCGCGCGCACTACACTAGAATTAGAATACTCGATTCTATTGCAGCGACCGTCAGCCCCGCCGTTCGTCGTCCACCGGCGGTAGGGTGCAAGATCGCATAGAGAGAGAATCCACACAGGAAGCCTTCCTACTGTGGTGGAACAAAGGCCTCCCTGTAAACGGAGAGGGAGGAAATGGGGGGGTGGAGAGGCGCGACCTTGCTACGGCCGGCGCTACTGCGCTCTGCCACGCGATACCGCGTTTGTGAGAACCCGAGTGCCAAAGAGGCTCGTTCCCCATCGTGCCTCCTTCGTGGGGCGGTTATGGCGTCAGATCAGCCATAGGCAAACGTGGCAAGAAGAGGAAGCGCTACCCTTCTCCTAGTAGCAAAGCGGACGTGAGTACAAAAGAAATAACCTGAGACTGTTAGTAGGGTTGAGTAGACTTGGTGAGACATGGGGCCGACACCCGGTCAGGAGCGTACGGGCAGATCCCCACCCCCCAGGTCCCATGGAAGAGAGGGATTATTGGGACGGTGAGGATCGATTTGGGAGGGTGAGGATCGATTGAGAGAGTTGTTTGCACCATGCTTTGATGACGGAGTCTTTCCTGCGAAATAGCCCCCGGGGCCGTGGTCCCATTAGCAAAGAGCATCGGATTGAATGCCTGAATCTGGACGTGTTTGATGACAGACGCAGGAAATCGAGATAGAACTTCGTTTCTGTATCTCTGCATACAACATAGCCAGATTCAGAATTTATATCCTATCCCCTTTGCTAGTGGGACCACGGCCCGGGGAAACGGTCGTAGAGGATARAGAGGTGAAGTTTCCACTTTGATATTCTTAAATATCCTACTTTTTTGGCATATGCATGTAGGAATAGAGGATTTTTTTTTATTTATTTTTTTCATATTACATCACAAAAGGGAGGCCAGGGACCTCACAATTCAACCGGGGTTATCCTGGGAGCATTACCTAGTTTAGCTTATGAGCCAAATCTCACTAGGACGGGGCTAGTCTAGGATCAAAGAGGCCAATTCTGGGCCATTATCCTGAAACCCTTGTCCTAAAAAAAACATTGCTTCAAGCCTACAAAACCCGCACAAGCCAAAAACTACGAACCCACAAACCCTTGTCGGCTACCTATCCCTAACCTTACAACACCCCCAGTCCCAGTTGCCACCCCACGAGAGCTCCAGCTAATCCCTACCGATGTCAACCAAGAAATTTAAATTCTTCTACTGCCTACAACTCTCTAAGGCAGGGACTAAATCTACCTATTGGTGTACTCCCCCCACGGTCAGGTGTCGCCCTGCCTTCTTCCTGTGGATGAATAGAACCGAGTAACAGGTTCCTACTCTAGCCTTGCTGGCGAACCAACCTCCTATACACTCACTTCTACTCAAGCCAAAACCACTTGTTCAAAACCAAGGTATCTCCTGATAACTCTACTAACTTGCCTTCGATTCCCCAAGTATCCCCAAACCATGGACTCTGTGATCCTTTTCCTCTTCTTCTCCAATCTGCCTAAATGAGGCGCCTCAACGAGGATCTGAACATTTTCCTGGTTTCATTATTCGTCACGTCCCTCCCCTCGAAGACTCRCAGATTCCTTCCTTTCCAGATTACTTCACATCCTACAGCTCTGGCTGCCTGAGCAATGTAGCCCCAATCCTTTTCCAAATTCAAGTTCGTCAGAACGCCTCCCAATAGAATCCATTCTCTATCCCATATCAGTTTGTTCTCAACGATGCTCACCCAAAAGCTTTGCCACCAATCCCAAATTCTTTTAGCCGGAGGGCAGTCATACCACAAGTGAGTTGTGAGGAACCGATTTCTGTTCCGCGCGATTTTCTGCGCAATAACAATGAGGGGTCCTAAGCTGGGAAGGATGGGTCAATTACGGGAGATCGGGATTGAAGGGCAATTGCATCAGTGTCCTCGCTTCTTCGTCTTTTTGCRTCGTCTCTTTTCAGATGGCTGGGTTCAGGCCCGGGGAAGTCCCGGGGATGATTGATGGGCGATGTGCCGCCGCAACCGCGCGAATAATTCTGGTTGACGACATTCCTTTTCRTTTTCTGTTGTTGGATTTTAGGCACGGGGACCGCGCGGGATTTTAGGCGCGGGGACCGCGCGCCAAAACCACTTGTTCAAAACCAAGGCACTGTGATGTGGAGAGAGAGAGAGAGAGAGAGAGAGAGAGAGAGAGAGAGAGAGAGAGAGAGAGAGAGAGAGAGAGAGCAGGTAAGTCTCCAAGCTCGCGGCTGGCCTCATGGTCCTTCGAATAGCATGATCAGCGAAATCAAATGAGTCTACCGCTAGAACATGGAGATATACACTGCCATACTTGGTGTGTGTGTGTGTGTGTGTGTGTGTGTGTGTGTGTGTGAGAGAGAGAGAGAGAGAGAGAGAGAGAGAGAGAGAGAGAGAGAGAGAGAGACTAAAGGCACAAACAACCATAGAAATTGATAGAAGCATGTTGTACAAATTGGCGGGTCTGCAAAAACCAGAGAATTATCGTCACCACATACAGTATGATAGACATTGTATGAAAACGTATTCGTCAATTTTGACCATGACAGCATAGCTAGGCAACTGTACTTCTCCCTGAACTGTCATGAATCACCTGAGACATTGCCGCTGCAATGAACTAAATTGACATTCCGAAGATAAGGATAGATGCAAAAACAACTCTAGACGTGACTGCCGATGAAGTGACTGAAACCAGTCAAACGCAAGTCATACCCTCCGACTCCGCATGAACATTATACAGTCAAGTACAGTCAATTGCACCCGCCCTAAGCAGCACTTGAAAGAAAAAAAAAGAAAAAAAACTGAGAAAAACAAGCAGGAATTTGTCATCACTCCTAGTAAATTCCTACTGAAGAAGACACGAATGTCCTGCTGCACGAGAGTGCACAGGACCGCAGTATGATACACGATGTGGTTGGGCGAACAAGAAAAATTCAGTTCACTGTCCTGTGCCTGCTGAACTACACAAGCACGGCCTGCTTTACATCTACGGTCGAGAGTCCGGGATCCTAGCAGAGACGACAGCTTTGATGGCATCAGCGACCAAAGCCCATGACTTTTCCATGGACTGTAGCTGCATCTGCACACATGTGATGCACGCCTGTATCTCCTCCTTTGCGACCTCAGTTTGTCGGTCCATCGCAGCGACGGTCTTGTCCTTGCAGACCGCTGCAGTGGCACACTGTTTCTCCCCTTGCTTCAAGAACGCCGCGGTGTGTTCTGCCATCATCGCAGCAACCTCCTTCATGCTCTTCTCCCTTGCATTCACTGCACCCTTCCTCCTTTTCGATGACGCAGGACTTGGTACAGCAGCAGCGACATGGCCGGCCATTGCCACACCAGGCGCGGAAGCCTGCGAAGTC